GTGGCTATTGAGTAGGGTCTTGTGGAACACAGATGTGTTTTTAGTTTGCAAAGGGAAGAAAGGCTCATAGGCACACAGCTTGGCATAAGCGAAGGTGGAGAGGAGCAGAAGAGTTCTGCCTTGTGGGAGAATCAAACCCAGTGATCTTGATTGTCATGCGAGGTTCTTAAAAGAACTACCCTTTGCTGAGTGTGGGGGTACCTGCCTATAATCTCAGTGTGCAGAAAGGCTGAGGCAGGAGGATTGCCAAGGACTGGAAGCCAGCCTGAGGTACACTGTAAGATCTAGTTTTGAAACAGCAGTGACAGCAGCAACAGTAACAATAGCAACATTGCAAAGCCTTATGGGAAGGGGACAGACAGACAGACAGAGCAGTCTTAAGGTTACTCTCCTGCTTGTTCACAGAGCCTCTGCCAGCCTGTGGATGACTCTGGTCCTGGCAGGAAGTGCTCAAGGGAGCAGTGTCTGCATTCACCAGGCAAGGTCTCCTGGCCTCTCTGACAAACAGCACAACATCTATACCTCTGTGAATCCAAGGAAGCAAGGTTCTGTTCCCAAAGTGCAGAAAGAATGAGATGCTTCCTTTCTGCTGGGGAGTGAGGCAGGGAGAAGTCATGCTGCAGATACCTCTATCCAGCCCTCAGCTCTCATCCCTACTGATTGGGGAACTGTTTCAGCATCATCTGTGGTCAAGATGCCTTGTGCATCCACCAATTCCATGAGTATTGTGTGGTCCCCAGGGAGCTGACACCAGGCAGATGGAGCCTGTTGGAGCTCCTAGGTCTGTGTCACCAGTGAAGATGCAGGATTCAGCCCCTACTTAACAGAGGGCATGGTGCCCGGAAGACAGCAGGACCCTCATGTCTTTCCTGCAAGTTATTTATAGCCTCGCAATGGTAATTTGTAGCAATCACAGCATTTAATCCTGTAATCACACTGCAAGCAGGCACCCAGCCCAGTGAGGTCGGTGAGCCTGCCAGGGCTCAGGGAGGGACTTGGCGGCAGGACAGGGAGTGTGGAGGCGGTAATGTCCTTATCAGCCTCTACCTCATCTTGTCAGCCATGCCCCGCCCCCTGCACCCTGGATAATACGAGTAACAATAGCAGCTAACACATTTCACAGGTGTCATAGTCTATGCCTTGTTCAAAAGCCGTCACCCATAGGAGTTCACTCATTTTCACTATCACTCCATAAGGGAGTTACAGTATCACTGTGGCATTCCTGCACTCCAGGTGAGGGAACAGGCTCAGGTCACACAGCTGCTAAGAGTCATGTCTTGAACTTAGGCCTTTTGGTTTCAAAGCCTAGGGTTTTGGAGACCATGGTCTCAGAGGTAGAGCTGTCCCATCTACCTCTGTCCCACCCCTACTATTAGCTTTGGCTCTGCAGACACACACTCTGGGCTCCTCTGCACACCTGCCCCAGAGGAGCATACGTGCTCAAGAGGCCACACGCACCACAAGACAACTTTTCACTTTGTGTTGGCGTTGGCTTCTTTCCCAGACACTCTTTCCCCGGTGACAAAGTTTAGAAAGAGGACTTGGGCAGCACACCCGGACTCTATTCATCAGATGTCCTCTGCTTTTTGCCTCTGCGGAGAGGGACAGCCTGCCGCTTGCCGCTTGGAAGGGCGGGGCACGTCTGGCTGACTGCCCTCTTCTATGGAGGTGGGGCCCTCTAGCGGGGAGTCCTTGGCCGTTTTTATTCTATGGCTGTCCCATAGGTGGGATGCATGTGAACTACACATTTTAAAATTTACTCATCTGTAAAATGGGGCTAAGAACAAGAGTTACTTAAACTGAGAAGGCAGATGGGGTGATGGGTGAGTTGACCCCTGTCAGCCCTTAATAAAGGCTCATTGAAGTGGGCTCATTTCTCTTATCTTTATGGCCATACTGACCTGAGTGCAGAATTTTGGCTTCTATTCAGACTCAGGGCCAGGTCTTTTATAGTTAGAAGAAGAACAGGGGACCCGGGGAAGGGCAGCACTGGCCTCCAATCTCAATACCCAGGAGACAGGGGAGAGGAGGATGGTGAGTTCCATGCCAGCCTAGGCTATTTAGGGAGACCTTGTCTCAATAAAAACACAAAACAAAAACAAGACGCAGGGGTGAGTAAGGCACGTGCCACACAAGTGTGAGTGCCCGAGTTGGAATCCCCAGAAGTCACTTAGAGCTGGGCACAGACCCTGCTTCTGTGATTCCAGTGTTCTTACTGCAAGATGGGAAATCAAGACAACAGAATTCTCAGAAGCTTGCATGTGACCATTTCTCAACAAGGTGAGAGATGAGGACCAGTGCCCGAGGCTGTCTTCTGACTTCCACATGCAGGCTATGGCACTTCTGCACACGCGCGCGCACGCATACACGCATGCACACACACACACACACATACACACACACACACACACACACAGAGAGAGAGAGAGAGAGAGAGAGAGAGAGAGAGAGAGAGAAAGTCACTTGCTCATGCTGTATAAACTGATGAAAACAGACAGGAGAATTTTTTTTTTTTGTTTTTGTTTTTGTTTTTCGAGACAGGGTTTCTCTGCGGCTTTGGAGCCTGTCCTGGAACTAGCTCTGTAGACCAGGCTGGTCTCGAACTCACCGAGATCCACCTGCCTCTGCCTCCCGAGTGCTGGGATTAAAGGCGTGCGCCACCAACGCCCGGCTTCAGACAGGAGAATTAGAAAAAGTAGCAGGCAGAGCCAGGCCTTAGGAACATTTGTGCTAGCCTCTTCCTCATAAGAGCCAACCTGTCCTATCACCGAGGAAACAATTTTAATCCCCACAGAAGTAGCTCAGAGCTCACAAAGCAGTTGCCTTTAGCCCAGGGTTGTGTCTTAGGGACCGGATAGTTCAGAACTGCTCTTCCCAGCTGAGAACAACTCCTTGTGTAGAATTCTTTGCAGATAGATCTCACTGGACCAGGCTAGGGAATGGGGAATGTCGTCAGTCCTAGGCTGACTACAGTCATGGGAAGGGCCTCCACTAACCCTGCAGGGGTGAGAAGGACCTTGGGGAGGATTATCATCATCTAGAATGGACTTCTGAGCAAGAAGGTGAGTTTCCCATCAACAGAGGCAAGCAAGTGCTTCAGAGTCCAGCTGTGGTTTTTTCCGAACACAGGCAATGGTATCCATTTCCTGGGGAATGAGAGAGGAGGCACGGTGGGCTGGGTGAAGTAAGGACTCTTGGGTGGCAGACATTGTTTATGTAAAGGGAGGCTGTGGGATATCTAAGATCTGTTTCCATATGAGAGTCTGGTTCAGTCTGAACTAATGCAGAGCACGGGGCTTAGATCAAGCATTGGCACATTATTCTGGAAAGATCCAGATAAATATCTTATGGTTTGAGGGCTGTGAGTTTGTTGTCACCGTTGAAGTCAGGCCTGTGGTGTGAAGGCAGCCATAGATGATACATAAATGGATGAACTGTCTGTGTGCCAAGAAGACTTTATTTACCCAAACAAGGGGCAGATTCTGTCCTTGGCTAGAGACCTCTGTATTTGAGCAGTGGGAGCCCAGGAGCCCGAGAAGGCCTTCCCGGGGAGGTGTTGGCTTAGGCAGCTAGCAGAAGTGAGGAAAGCCCTTCTGAGTGACTCCAAAGTGCCTGCTGGATGCCAAGTGTCATGCCAGACAGTGGCCTTCCCTTTCTGCGTGGTCACTTCCCTCTGGACCATAATCCTGTAGTTCAAAGCTTTGCTGTCTCACTAAGAACTTCAGCCAGGTTTGATTATTTTATTTATTTGTGGTGGAAATGGAAGCCAGGACCTTGTGCATGTTAGGCAAGTGTACTCTTACACTCCCAGGCCCAAGGAGATACTTTTAAAAAATATTTTTTTTAATTGGTCTGAGACTGGAGAGTTGACACAGCGGTTAAGAGCATTTGTTCTTGCAGACGATCTGGGTTCAATTACCAGCACCCACATGGTGGCTCATGACCCTTTGTAACTCTAGTCCCAGGGAATCTGATATTCTGTGATCTTCTCACCATGTGTTACACAGATATACATTAAGGCAAAATATTTATAGTCTTAAAAAAAAACCAACCAAACAACAGCAACAGAAACGGGCTGTTAAAATGGTTCGGCAGGTAAAGGAACTTACCACTAAACCTGATTGGTAGCCTGAGTTCAGTCCCTGGGACTCACGTGATCAAAGGAGAGAGCTGATTGCTGTGCGCTGTCCTCTGCATACTTACACAAACAAAATACATAAATAATGTAATAAAAGAAAAATCAGCAACAATTCCCCCAGAAGAAGAAAAACAAAAGTAAAAATGGAATTTGTCTAATGAGCGCTGTGCTTGTACAATAGTAAAAACTGAGAAGTCCTGTCTCTGCTCTCCATCCAAAGCCCGTGAAATATAGTGATATCATTGCTGTCCAAGCCCAATGGCCCGAGCTCCAGGGGAGCCAGGGATGTAAGTCCCCATCTCCAGCTAGAAGGTGGGGACCCAGAAACACCGTATCTCAAGGCTGACACTGTGCCCCTCCCAACCCTTTTGCTGTGTTCAGACCTCCACAAAAGGGATGGCACCTGCTTACCCCAAGGGCAGACTCTTCTCAACTCAGCTTCTGTGGTTAGAGCACCACCCTCCTGGAAGCCCCTCACAGGCACACTTGGGAGACACAGGGCATCTCTTAGCCTGGTCACATTTAGATGACCCGAGCACAGCTGCTCCCCAGCTATTCTCATGGGACATTTGCATCAAGTTCCTGGATGTCATAGCTCTAGCACAGCTGCCATTACTGGTGAAATAAGAAGGGCAGCTCTTTCTTAGGACTTCCTGTCTTATTTGTGATGGCTGACCTCAGCTGGCCTTCTTTTCCCTAGAAGGGCAAGGCCGTTTTGCATGTATATACTCTTGAAACAGGGTCTGGACTGGGTGACCCTCCCTAGCTGCTGACTCCAGCTTCCCAATAAATCAGGGCCTCTGCTACACCTATGGGGGGCCAGTGTGGTGGGCGCCTGCTGCATTCTTTCTGTCCTCTGCAGGAGAACTGTATCGGGTGTCCCTAAGAAGACAAAGGTTCCCAGCTCAAGGAAGCATTGAGATCCACGAAGATGGCGAGGTGTGCTGGATTTTGGAGGCATCCGGTCCATCTGTAGCCTGAATCTTAGGAAGAACCCTGGGAGGATAGACAGGCTGCCTAGCCTCCATCCAGTTCTTCTTTGCTGTATGACCCCTGGGTACCTCCCTGTTCTCCGGGCTTCAGGTTCTTATAGGCACAAGAAGAGTCACTGAAGACTCATCCTGTTGTGCTGTTCATTGAGGGTCTGGCCCTCCTGGTAGCCTTCTGGATGCTCCAGAGTCCCACAGGGGTTGTGGGGTGTCAGTCATAGTCCCTGTGTCTCTGTCCTTGTGCATCCTGGGATTCTGCTGCCTCCCTGTCTATATCCCTGTCATGTCCCTCTCAGGAAGGCTGCTCACAGCGTTCCTGCAAGACGCATGTCCTCCTGCTGGTGCTGCACGGGGGCAACGTCCTAGACACCGGTTCTGGTGACCCTTCCTGCAAGGTGGCCGACATTCACACCTTCAGTTCTGTGCTGGAGAAGGTCACACGTGCCCACTTCCCTGCTGCCCTGGGCCACATCCTCATCAAATTTGTCCCTTGTCCTGCCATCTGCTCGGAGGCTTTCTCGCTTGTCTCTAAGTGAGTCATTTCGGCTTGTTTGTACGGTCTGGGTTTGGTGTGGGAGGTGTAAATGGAGGGGATACCCCTGCCTTGGGAGGCCTGTCTGGTGTCAAATCACTAAGGATGCTGTGGAGAGCATCCTTAGTGGGATATGCTCATTAAGAGTCCTCTATCAGGACCTGGGAGTGCCAGCTTCCCCATGCTAGCCCATATTCACTTCCAGTGCCTCAGTTTGAATGAAAGAAGAAACAGGCCCCAAGAAGTTTATCCATTTCCCCCAGCTATCCAAGAATGAAGCCAGGAGTCACACCAAGGCAGCCTCCCTCCAGAGAACAGCCCTATAGGGATAGGTACTGTAATGGAGGTAGCCCGAGATAGAACTAATTCCCAGTCAGGGAAGACTTTCCAGAGGAGAGTTGATTTTAATGTCATAGCGTGGCTAAGTGTATGTCCTCTCTGGGGCCTGGACTTGAATCTTGGCTGTGTGACCTTGGGGAATTGTGCCACCTCTTCCTCCCTTAAGTCCCTCACCTGTAAGATGGAGGTGATGCTGATGCTGGTGTGTAGGTGTAGGGACACACGGCAAGTGTCCACATAGCACCGAGATGCCCCTGGCTGCCCCACTAGCATCCTCCTAGGGCCAGGGGCATGCTCAGCTTGTTTCCTGTTGGTGGAGAGTGAGATGATAGGGTCCTGTCCTAGCTCACAGCAGACACCAACTTGGACGTGCAGGGAGGGAAAGGACGGTATGTCAGAAGCACAGGCTAAACACTAGGCTACTTCTTACAAGTGCCGGTACGTCCCTCCCATTGTGGACCCAGGTACCAGTGAGGGGCAGACTCAGAGACCAGGGGCTTTATGGGAACTGGGTCCTATGGGGAAATTCCACCCACCATGCTAGAACTTGGGGGCCCCAGTGCTCTAGAGCCCTGCATGTCACTGTTGAAGTAGCTGAAGGTCGGTACCTGGAGCCGGTGGGACACCTGCTTTTTTTAGTCTTTGTGCACCTGTAGAGCCCCCATGGCCTAGACACTGAGCAAATTATTGAGACTGAAGCAAGGAGACCAGACTTTCCTGCAGGTGGGGTCAAAAGGGAGCTGTTGGCACCCCTGCCTCACCGCCCCTCACATGACCTTGGAAAGCCCCTCCTCAAGCCCCTCCTCCAGGCTTTCTTGTGTGGAACATACTCAGAGTCCCAAGAGAAGGGGAGCAATGTGCTTAGCTTCAGTCAGATGGGGCTCTGAGCCCAGGGGCTCCAGTGTGGGATGGGCCCAAGAGCCCCGTCTTTCACTTCTAGTAGCTCAGGATCTAGCAGGGGCTGGACCATTTTGCATCCTGCTCACTTCCTGACTGGTGCTCAGAGGCTGCAGGATGCCCTCGGGTGGATCTCCATTAGATACACAAGTCGGGAAGGTCTATTGCTTCTTAGCTTAGCCAATTGCCCCAGTATCTGGGGTGATCCATGCCAATTGCCCCCATATCTGATGTGATGCATGTCACACGTAAGATGTGCAGGCGCCCGTGGAGCAGCTGAGTGGGCGGAGCCTTGGAATCTGCTTCCTAGACAAGGGCTTGCTGCATCCTTCTGTTGTGGGATTTAGGAGCAGCTGAGTGGGTGGCCAGACTCTGGTCCCTCACACTCACAGAAGTCCCAGAGTTAATCTTGCTGGTCCACAATCCATCTCAAGACTCACCCCCAGGATGGCTGACCTCCTGAGCTGGGTCATCCTTATCTCCAGGAAGACGGATGTCCAGGCCATTTGAGGGGAGAGCAGGAGGGAGCTTACCTCTCCCCCAGGCAGCTCTTGCTAGGGCCATTAATCACCGGTAATCACTGCTGGGAGGGAGCTCCTTCTCGGCTAATTAAAATCTCTCCGGCTGCAATCGAGGCCTGTTTCCTCTAATTTGCGTTAGTTGGAGATGAGAAATGGTTGGTGGGGCCTGCCTTACACACTGCTAGGACCCTGCCACCTGCTGAGGGTGCCTAAGTCCTGTCCTCTTCCCTGGATTCTGCTGGTTCTTAGCCCCATCTGCCCTAGGCTTTGGGCACTCTGGAGCTAGGCACATGGGGGTAAGGACAGGCTATTGGCCCTGGGTAGGAAGTTCTCAGACTCCTTTTGTGTCTGTTCTAAAAAGCCAAGGCCAACAGATCATCAGGGTTGGGTCTGCTGGGAGACAGAGGCAATCCAGGTAGGGATGGGAAGACGGGTGGGTCTGAGCTGCCCAGAGAGGGAGGGACTTCCTAGTAGGGAGATGGAGGGGTGCAGTGGCCTCTGGGAGTGGAGTTCTGTAGGGCAGGCGCCCAACCCTCTCTGTGAAATTTGAAGCAGAAGTCTGTCCCTTGAATACAGAACATACTGTCATACAGGCAGCTAGGAGCCCCTTCACACTAGGGCCATTGTCTCAGTTCCTCACTGGTCCTCCTTAGGTTCCCCCAAAGCCTCTTTTTAGAGTTAATTCAGCCTCTTCCTCCTCCAGGAGGTCTACCATGATACCTCTTTCCCACGCTGTTCTGTGTTGGCTGATTCTCTAGGTTCTTTCAGAACTGGGGTGTTTTTAGGTTCTTGCCAAACAGCATGGCTATGCCACACAGCAAGACTGCCATGGGCTGGCATGTATGGAGTCAGCTCAGCCTTGAATCCTCATCCTTTTCCCTCCTGCGCCATCCTTGTGCTTTGCCTCATGGGACCTAGCCTCATAGGTCCTTAAAATTTCTCTGCAACTGGACCTAGTGCCCAGGCGGCGAGTATGTTCTTCCAAAGAGCCCACAGTCCCACGTCACCCACTTCTTGGTCCTAGCTAGGCTGACTTTGGGTCCCCGTGTCTGCAGCCTGAACCCCTATAGCCACGACGAGGGCTGCCTCAGCGCCAGCCAGGACCACGTTCCCCTGGCTGCCCTTCCCCTGCTGGCCATCTCCTCTCCACAGTACCAAAATGCTGTCGCCACTGTCATCGAGCGAGCCAACCACATCTATGGAGAGTTTCTCAAGTCCTCTGATGGGATTGGCTTCAGTGGGCAGGTAAGAACCTGCTTTCTCTCACTCTTAGTTAGCTGCTGCATAAAAGAGGGCCTGGGGTCTGCTGTGGGATCAAGGCAGGCTAGAACTGTAGCCTCTGAGTTTGGAGGAGCCTTTTGATGGGTTTGGTATTCTCCTTTTACAGACAGAAACACTGCCCTCATTTGGAGTCCATGATGACCCTTAGCTAGCCTGACTCCTAATTGTGGCCTGACCACTCACCTTGGGCTGACTCCAAAGGAAATCGGTTGTCAGGATGTGCCTACCCTCCATTTGGGCTCTAAGCAATTCCTTAGGACAAGTTCCTTATTCTCTCATGGGAACATACCCCTGTTCTGGCTGGATTCGGGGTGAGAGGGTTGTGGCAGGCAAGCCTGCAGCCCAACTGTGCCTCTGCAGGTGTGTCTCATCGGGGACTGTGTGGGCGGCCTCCTGGCTTTCGATGCCATCTGCTACAGTGCGGGGCCCTCAGGGGACAGTCCTGGCAGCAGCAGCCGGAAGGGAAGCATCAGCAGTACCCAGGTGTGGTCAGGCTGGGGGATGGGAGAGGGTGTGTCCCTGGGTGTCTCTCATAGGAACAGAGGAGCAGGTGGCTCCCCCAGGAAATGCAGTGCTGGGTTTTCCTGTTGAGATTGTGGTGTCTATAATACAAAGGGTTGTATGGAAATAGCAAGAACATGTTTAGCACAGACCAATAAAGAGGCCCAGAGGCGGTCTACTAGTATTTGTCTCTCTAGGTGGTCATAGGAGATGGTCTGTGCCTACACCCCCACCCCTCATCACCATGAGGTGTTTGAAAGCTTAGTTTCCACATGGGAAGATGGGGCTCATTTATGCCCAGGGGAGGAGGCAGGGCCCCAGGGCCCCTTTGATCGTTATGCTTTCTGCTCAAGGACACCCCTGTGGTGGAGGAGGACTGTGATCTGGCCAGCAGTAAGCGTCTCAGCAAGAGTAACATCGATGTATCCAGTGGAGTGGAGGATGAGGAGCCCAAAAGGCCATTGCCACGGAAACAGAGCGACTCCTCCACCTATGACTGTGAGGCCATCACCCAGCATCACGCTTTCCTTTCAAGGTAACCTTCCTGGGCCGCTGCCTTCACAGCTAACAGCATCCGTTAGTGTAAGGACCTTGGTCAGAGTCACCAAGGGGGTCTGTGACCAGGCAGTAATCCCAGACCCCCCCACAGGGGCCCATAGGTAGTGGGAATTTTGTCACCACTTGTCATTGGCTCAGCATCTACACCACAGATTTTCCTGTTTGTCTGTTCCTCTGTTCAAACCTGCAGATACTGGACATGATCTGTTCTACCTCTCTGGGCTTCCATTTCCTCTTCTGTGAAAGGATAGGATTGCCCAGTGGCCCCTTGGTATAGCTTAGAGAATCTAGAGAGGTCACAGATGGGGGTATACTTGGTGGGATACCCCAGGGGTTCATATTTGTTCTCCGAGGAGGGAGTGTCACTCCGCTAGGTCCCAAAGATCCGGGGCCAGCATTCTGCTCGTCCTTCCTCACATCCATGTCTTGGGCATGACAAACTTCATAAACTACCCTTTCACTTTCTAGAAGAAATGGTTGGTGAGCAGCTAAAGGAACCATCTGATCATTGATTCAGGTTGAGAGAACTGAGCATTGAACATGGACCAAATTGGCACAGGGTGGGGCACTTTTCCTCTCTGTTTCTCTCCAGTTCTCCCTTTTGCTCTCCTCTCCACCTTTTCTCATTGGCTCCCTAACTGATAAGTATCATGGATCATCAAAAGAGTGGTTATTTTTTACATAATTTATGTGTTGTTTTACTTAAAAACAAAGAATCCAGCCTTGTATACTGTGAACTTTCCCTCATATGATTAAAAATACTTGGTAAATATTCTTTCCTCTCCTCCCCTCTCCTCCCCTCCCCTCCCCTCCCCTCCCCTTCTTCTTCTTCTTCTTCTTCTTCTTCTTCTTCTTCTTCTTCTTCTTCTTCTTCTTCTTCCTCTCTCTCTCTCTCTCTCTCTCCCTCTCTCTCTCTCTCTCGACAGGCTTTCTCTGTGTAACTACTCTGGCTGTTGTAGAACTCATTTTGTAGACTAGGCTGGCCTCAAACTCACAGAGACCTGCCTGCCTCTGCCTCCCGACTGCTGGGATTAAAGGCGTGTGCCACCACAGCCCAGCTGGTAAAAATGCACTATAAATTTCAGTGAATAACTGCTTCCTCAATCCCACTAACTGAATATTTTGTGTTTTTCCAGTTCTTTGCACTTATAAAAAGCACTGGACTGGTCATATTTTAAGAAAGATTAGTTTGTCTTATGTATGTGTGCCTGCATATGTCTTTCCGAATACTTGAAGAGGCTGGAAGACAGCACTGGATCCCCTGGATCTGGAGTTACAGGAGGTTGTGAGCTACCTAATGGTGGCTGCTGGGATCCAGTTCTCTGCAAGAGCACAACGCTCTTGACCACTGAACCATCTCTCTAGCCCCTAGGCTGGAGATCTTTGTGCATAATCATTAATGTATGTGCTAGACTTACAGTAATGACCAACCATGGTTTGAAAATATGAACTAGAAAATTCCAGAAGTAAATCAGTTCTAAGTTGTAAGTTGTACACTCTACAGAGCAGCATGGTAAAGTCTCATGTTGTCCTACTTGGAGTCACTCCTTCGTCCTGCATATTCTGTCTCTCTGTGCTACTTACCTGTTGATCACTTGGGCCGTCTCAGGTGTTAGATCCACTGTCATGGTACCACAGTGCTTGTGGTCATATGTATGCCCTTGCTTTACTTTGTAATGTTTCCAAAGTGTAAGAGTAAACAATGATGCTGGTAATTCAGATATGACAAAGAGAAGCTGCTGGGTGTCTAAGAGGAAATGTGAAAGTACAGCATTTTGCAAGGGACACTTATATAACTTTTATTACGTGTATTGCTATAATTTTATATTTTATTATTAATTGTTCTCTTAATTGCCTATTGTGTAAATTAAACTTTATCCCAGGTGCTTTAAGTATAGGAAAAAGCACCACATGTAATGGGTTTGACACTTTGCCACTGAGGTCTTGGGATATGTTCCTGTGGATGAGTGGGAACTTTCTGTACTTCCTGCAGGGGGATCCCAGGAGGCGGAATAGGAGGCCGCAGGTTCTGTGGGGTTAAGTTTTGAATGTTAAGGCTCCTCTATCAGATCAGCTCTGGAACAGCGGCCATGTGCAAAGGAGGGTTGCAAAGTGAAAACCTCAACATTTCTGGTTCATCCTTGAAACAGCCTCCAGGAAAGCCCAAATCAGGAGAGTGCCAGACATTGGCCACTTTCAGTAGCGAGCCCAACACAGCCAGGTTGTTGGGTTCTGGTGCAGGAACAGATGGCTGTTTCTCTGGTAACTAAGTAGTTGGCACATGTTTAGGGACCAGGCTGTACATGAGATATACGTAGTTGAGCTTCATCATCATTGACAGGGAGAGCAGAAGGCAGAAGACTGGGTGCCCTGTTTGCCTTCTGGCTCGCTCCCGAGGGTGGACCTCTTGCCTGTAGCATTTTAACTGTTACTTTGAAAGGTTTTTCTCCAGCTTGAGTGTTTTAGATGGGTTGGCTTTCAGAAGTTGGCTGATACATCATGTCATTCCCCTGCTGTGGTCTAACCCCTGTACTGTCCCTGGTGCTTGTTGGAAAGCCAGAGAGGCAGCTTTGGCTTCTGTTTACGTTCAGCATCTGTGGCTAAACACAACCTAGACAGGCTCTTGGGATGAGAACGTGGGATCCTGCTCTTTGGCACCTGTCCAGGGGAGTGGGGAGGCCAGATTGTTTGCACCTGTGTCTGCCTGTGGCCTGGAACACGAGTTATGGTGGAAGCCTTGGTGTTGGCAGTGCCAGCAGCAACCAGGTCCCCGTGCTGGCCAGGATGGGCTCTCCTGTGGCAAGTGCAGGGGCTTTCAGGGTGGCTGTCAATAAACACCATGGGAGGTTCCGCCTGTCATTCAGGTGCTCAGCCAGCTTTCATAAGAAAAGTTGTGGCAGATCCCAGCTACACAGATTGCTTAAACATGGTTTGTGGCTGTCTGACATGGCAGAATAAATCCAGGCGGTAGAAGCAGGTGGCCCACAAAGTCTTTCAGACTCACCACCTGGCCCTGTGCAGAAAACGTTTGCTGAACTCGGCTCCAGCCAAATGTTGGCTAGGCCTGAGTGGCTAATGCTGAGGGTCTCCAGCCAACAGTGATCTCTGGTTCTGAGTCCCCTTCCAGTGATAGAGGGTTGGGCACTCTGCCCTCAGAATGCAACTGTGCTGCAGAGTGGACATGCCCATGGTCCTGGCCCTCCTCTGATCTGCCATTCCTCACTCCGGCAGCATCCACTCCAGTGTGCTGAAGGATGAGGCCGAGGTTCCTGCAGCTGGCACACCCCAGCTCGCTGAGGTCAGCCTGGGTCGCTTTGACTTTGACGTGTCTGACTTCTTCCTCTTTGGCTCACCCCTGGGCCTCGTCCTGGCCATGCGGAGGACAGTGCTGCCTGGGATAGATGGTGGGTATGGTTATTAGGCCAATGGCTCAGGGGATCAAACTGGTGGAGTGGGAGGGTGGACAGAGTGGTGGAGGCAGGGTAGATGGAGAGAAAGGATGGAAGCTGAGGGAGAGGCCAGGCGGCTTCTCCGGGTGGGTCAAAGGTGAGGCAGCTTGATGGACGTCACTGTCCCTTTCCTGTGTCCCTAGATTACTTGTCTCAGTCATGTCCCACGAGAACATGGGCCACAAGCATTCTCCTTATCACAGCAAATCCTCCCTCCCTCCCTGTCCCCAGCAAACTTCCTGCAGTCAGTTAGGTCTCAGAACCTTTCTACCCAAACTGGCACTGGTGCCTTTGCCTACAGAGCATCTGAAGCCTAAAGCTCTTGCCAGCTCATACAAGACAGACTTATGATGCCATTTGACCAGCCTGGGCCTTAGGAGAGTCTAAGGGCAGGAGTGCAGGCAGTTATTCATTGCTCTCTGCTGAGGCTCTGAAGTGAGGGGCTGAACTGAGGCGAGGCACTCAGTGTTGCAGAGGAGCCTTAGGACCCCTTAAATGCAGCCCACTCAAAAGCCCTTGACCCAGGACAGGTGGGAGGCAAGGACCTTTATGGCGACACCTGCTGGCCAGTGGCAGAAGTGCTTCACCTGCTCCGCCTGATGCTGAGAGCACCCGATCAAGGGCCTTGCATTGACTTAATATATCCGGTAGTGACTGAGTGGTGGCGAGAGGGTCTGCAAGAAGTGCTCCAGTGTGGATACAGTCAACACTAAAAGGAAATATTACAATAGTAAAATAAAGGCCTGGGATTCTGAAGAATCGACTGTTTGAGCACAGGGGAAGAAAAGCAGCAAGTTTACAGATGTTTACCAGGGCGGCAGTACTGGGTACCTACAATGGTGCCCTCAAGGGGAGCAGATTGACAAGGCCTTCAATGCCAAACTGGGCATTTTGTTTCTGAGTAGTGTGATGGCTAGTTTTCTGTGAAACTGACCTAGGCTAGATTCCTCTGAGAGGCAGGAACCGAGGGAACCACAATTGAGAGGGTGTCTCAAGAAGATTGGCCTGTAGGCAGGACTGTGGGGGTGTTTTTTTTATAACTGATGATTGATGTGGAAGGGCCCAGCTCACTGCAGGTGGTCCTGCCCCTGGGTGGGTGGTCCTGGGGTAGATATGAAAGCAAGCTGAGTAAGTCAGTAAGAACGCTCCTCCATGGCTTTTGCTTTAGTTCCTGCCTCCAGGTTCCTGCCTTGAGTTCCTGCCCTGACTTCCCCCAGTGATGGAGTGTGACCCGAGAGTTGTAAGATGAACTAAACCCTTTCCTCCCCGAGTTGATTTTAGTCACGGTGTTTGATCACAGCAATAGAAACCCCAACTAAGATTGGTAGCAAGGACCCAGGGGAGGTTCTTGAACAGGAGATAAGGCTGCTCAAGGCCGCACTCCAGGGAGCCCTTTAGAGCCTTTAGAAAGGGCTTCTGCATGTGTCTTCTCCCACTCACCCAGGTTTCCAGATGCGGCCTGCCTGTAGCCAGGTCTACAGCTTCTTCCACTGTGCAGATCCCTCTGCCTCGAGGCTTGAGCCACTGCTGGAGCCCAAGTTCCACCTGGTGCCTCCTGTCAGCGTGCCTCGCTACCAGAGGTTCCCCCTGGGCGATGGACAGTCTCTCCTGCTCGGTAGGTCCTGGGACTGCGACACCGTGCTGAGTTGGAGGCTGGTAGGTTCTGGAGATGTTCTTTCTGGTTCCGCCTCTCAAGTTGTCAGCTGTCGGGTGGCTCATGGGAGCAGGGCTGTACTGTTAGAGGAGTGGGCAGGAAGCCAGCTGGCTTCAATGCTTTAGAGTGGCTGCTTATGCCAAGGACCTGCTCTGTGCCAGGCATCGTGGTGCCAGGGCTCTGCTCACCCCACACCCTGCCAGGCTCCCATTTGAGCTTCAGTGGCTAAGGCTGGGATAATGGTGGGGTTGTTGACTCTGAAGGGCAAGTTAAAGGCACATTCCCAGTACTGTTTCCCAGTGCCCACCCTGTACCCTGCAAAGATATATCAGAAAGTGTGTCATCCTGGTAGGCTTCATGGAAGAGGTAGCCTTTGGCCAGGGCCTAGAGAAGGGGTGTGTTTGGATAGGTAGAGAGGCATTGGGGGGGCAATAAGAGCAGGGCAGGTGGGGTTAGAGAAGGACCAGTGGCTTCTAGGTTCAAAGGGGGTATGTGTGTGACTGAGGATGTGGCCAAAGGCAGACCTGGAATGGATAGTCAGGCACTTGCCAATCAGAGTCTTGGCTCCATAGCTCCCTATCGCCATTGAGGAACTCCAGCCTAATCCTTTTCCAAGGTTTGAGCCAGAGATGAGGGGATGCTATTCCTGGGACTCACTTCAGGGTTAAAACTTACCCTTCCTTGTTCTTCATCTCAAAGGGATATATTTGTCTAGCACTTCCATGACGAAGCAAGGCTCCAAAGTTCCCTTCTGCTACCTTAAATGTTCCCTCTGAAAAGGGGATCCTCCAACCTCAGATGTCTCTTCCCCCATGACTCCAGCTTGTAGGCTTGAGTCATTTTCATCTACTTTCACCTCAGCCATATGCCTCTGTGGGTCAGGAAGGAATTTGATGAGAGAGGACATTGATAGGCTTCACATCATGACCTCAGCTTGGCCTTAGGGCCCAGCTCCCAGGTTTCCCTGCAGCTTTGGGGAGATAGGGTGATGTTGCAATCCCCACTCATGTCTATATTACTCCCAGTTTAATAAAAGGTGAAACTGTTAATGTACTATGCTGGTGTAGGAGGGGAGGGGGTGCTGGTGGTCTGTTAGCTCTGGGCCAGCTGCTTTGTATTTTTAGTCTCTTGCCCAGCATAGGGCTGGCATTAAGTAAGCCACTCTGTTGGAGACTCGATGCTCACCCTGACCTTGCAATTCCCCCTCCAGCTGATGCCCTGCACACCCATAGTCCCCTATTCCTGGAGAGCAGCTCCCAGGGAAGCCCCCCGCTTCTGGATGCCTCTACCTCGCCCCCTCAGACCCCAAGATTCCAGAGGCCAGGACGGAGGCTAAGCGAAGGAAGCTCCCACAGCGACAGTTCAGAGTCCTCGGACAGCCTGGCACCTATGGGAGCCTCCCGCAGTGAGTGAGGTCCTTTTGGGGCCCAGCTTGCCTTTGAGGGCCCTGGGTGGTGGTGGGTCTGCAGCAGCGCTTCAGTGGATGGGATTTTGGGCTGGGAGGAGCTGTGGAAGAAGTCATGGGAACATTCCTGTCTTTGGGAAAAGGGTTGGAGATGGTGGCATGTGGGGGTGGTAGAGGGAGGACCCATTTGGTTTCCCACTGAGTCATCACTGCTTTCCTAGACTAAGCTCTGACCTAGGTTAGAGCCCCAGATGTACCAGCTAGGGTGATGCTTCCCTTCATCCCCACACTCAGCGCTGGGTGTTAAGCCCAAGCCACATGCTAGCCCAACACTAACAGCTAAGCCTCATTTCCAACCTTTGAGTCAGAGTTCTGATTTTGAATGGAGCTTTGACCTCTGACCAAGGCCCACTGAGTTTTTGATCTCAAACATAGCCTTGACCTTTGACCTTATTCATGCCTCTGATCTCTTGATCATGCATTGTGCCCTGACCTCTGCAGGCACAGACTGATTCCTCACCTTGGAGAGAGCCCTTGGGAACTTACTATGGAGCTGCACCAGGGGGTTCAACTATGGCCATCTCTGAGGGCCTGGTCCTCTTCCTTGTGACCAGCTGGGAGCCCATGTTTTAGTGGAGGGTGATTATAAGGGCTGGTGGAAGGGCAGGACTCCCCTCCCCAGCTCTTTCAGGGTAGGTGCTGTGGCCCCAAGCTTGTTGGCACATCTCCACTGAGCCTGTGCCTGCTGGCTTTTGGCCATTCTGTCCTTATCTCCTTCTTGGCCCCACAGTCACAGCCAAGTGGTGGGGAACCAAGAGGATTGACTATGCCCTGTACTGCCCCGATGTCCTCACCGCCTTCCCCACTGTGGCCCTACCCCACCTCTTCCATGCCAGCTACTGGGAGTCTACCGATGTGGTCGCCTTCATCTTAAGACAGGTACTGTGGCTCCCTTATTGGGCCCAGCCTGTTGGCCTATTTGGGGGGGAATCCCAGGGTCCCGGGGTCCCAGGGAGCAGTTGGCCTCTATCTGACAGTGTTGAGAAAGCACTGGAACACTGAAGCGAAAGTGACAGGTCAGAGAAGAACGCCAAATCTCTAGATTAAGTGAAACCTGCAGAGGAAGCCATGCTGATGTGTCAACATGGAGGCTGGAGAAATGCTTCAGTGGAGTGCTGGGAGAGGACAGAGGAGACGAGGTAGGCGAGGGAGTGCTGCAGTCTCATGGAGAACGTGGTGCTATGGACAAGGCATGAGGGTCTCCAATGAGAAGACATGCTCAGATGAGAGGAGCAGGGTAGGCATTTTGGGATGTTGAAGAGAATGGTCCAGCCAAAAAGATCTAGATCAGAGAAGGGAGCCCTGCTGAAGCAACGGCCTCGAGGAAGGAACAGGGCTGAGTCAGGGCTCCGGCTGGCGTTAGGCAAAGGTCACCCACAATAGAGGAGGAGAGGCAGAGAACAAATGAATGCTAGTTAGGAAGCTCCAAGAGTCAGGTATGAATGTCAGAGGCTGCCCCCAAAGCAGAGCTACCAAGGGGACAGTTCTCTGGTTCCAGCTGTCCAGACAGGTAGGACTGGAGACAACTCCCAGGGCCCCAGCACGGTCCAGGCGATGTCATAGGGAAGCCAGAAATAGGGCTTGACTGGCTACTGTCCGGGGAGGCAGAACGGTTGAGGACGAGGACGTGCTCCCAAGCCCCGCCTCCCTTTTGGCTAGGTGATGCGTTATGAGAACGCAAGCGTGAAGGAGAACACTGGCCTGGACCCCACGGCTCTAAGCCCCGCTAACCCCCGCGAGAAGTGGCTGCGCAAGCGGACCCAGGTCAAGTTGCGGGTAAGCGCTTGCTGCAGTCGTATTTGTTGGATAGGTGACCTTGAGAGTCTGGGCAACCATGTACCAGATAAGAACTCTAGTTTCCTGGCGGAGCTCTTCTCCTTTCCTGTTGGCCTGAGTGCTTGCATGAGGGAGCAGCTGTGAGTTCATCTCCCACGGTCGGGCTCCACCTGGAAGTCCAGGGCTCTGGGATGGTAAAAGCAGAGTGGTTGTGGAATGATTGCTCCATGCCAGGCTTCTGGAGACATGGATTTGACATAGATCATCTTGTCTCTCAGCCGTGGAGTAGGGATGGGGGCCATCCTTGCCGCAACAGGATGTACCTACACATCAGGATGAAGGTGGCTAGGATTGCCAGGGCAGACCACACTAGGCTTCTCTAAAGATGGGGCTCCTCTGTAGGGTACTGGGGGATAAAGAGGAGTTTGGGAGGCATTCATTCACGCATTCTCTCGGTCAACTGCCGTCACTGCCTACTCTGTCTCGGATGCTGCGCATCATCCCGGAGTATGCCAACACAGCGTTGCTCTGGTGAGCAGTTCCGCTCTAGTGAGAAAGAACATCAAGCGTGGATCCTAAAAACAGTCCTGGAAGGCAGAGTGACTAATGCTTCGTGAATCAATGTTTTTGTGCATGGACATACACAAAATTACACACCACATAGGTGATGTAATTCACCTGTCACACAATCCAGTGTCAAATAATATATTCACAGCTGCATGCCAACCCAACCACAGTCGGTTTTAGAACTTTTTTTGTCACCTCATAAAAGAAACCTCTTTCTCTGCAGCCCTTTCCCTCTCTGCTGCCCTGGGCTCCTCCCGGAGTAGCCAATCATTCATCTAGTGTTGGTCTCTGTAGTTTCACCTGTTCTCCACGTTTTGTGTATCTGAAGTCACATGTGTGTTTATCTCTTCCTTCTTTCACTTAGCATGTTTTCAGGGTTCACCCATGTTGGGTCATGCATAGCATCTCATCTCCTTTTCCTGACTGGATACTATTCTACTGTATCCGTGTATTCTGTCCATCCAGTTGTCAGTTGATAGGCATTTGGGTTGTTTCTACGTGTTGGCTATTTTGAATAGTACTGCTTTACATACTCATCTATGCAGTTTGTGGGCATATATATATATACATACATATATACATATACATATATACAGATATATATATACACACATAAATGCATATATGTATTTTTATGCAGTTTGTTGGCATATATATATGTGTATATATATATATATATGCAGTTTGTGGGCATATATTTTTATTATTTTGGGTATAGATGAGGAATGGTAATTCTACACTTAATCTCCCGAGGAACCACTGTGCTGCTTTCCATAGTGGCTACCCCATTGTAGACATGGTAGATGGTTCTTTATGCCAAGAAAGACCCAAAGGTGACTGGGTAGTTTCCAGCCCAGGTACCTAAAAATGAAACGCAGGTTGTAAAGGCCAGTTGTCACCTCAGGAGGTGTGCAGACTCAAGAGCATGGGGTCCGCCTTGGTGGGCAGCCTAAGAAGCAGTTTTGGTAGCTGAGTCTGCTTCTGGAATCCTAGTGCATGCAGCTCCTGGATGCCTGACTCAGCTGGGCCATAGCCTAGAAGTCATCCTTTCAAGGCTTTAATGATAAAGCAAGTGTGAGCTTTGTCTGCAAAGGCTGAGCCGGGTTGTTTCTTTCTGTCCTTGCAGAATGTCACTGCGAACCACCGTGCCAATGATGTAATTGCAGCTGAAGATGGCCCCCAGGTCCTGGTGGGGCGCTTCATGTATGGCCCTCTTGACATGGTGGCTCTGACTGGAGAGAAGGTACCAAGGGTTGAGCGTCTCCTTGGCTCACCTGTGTCACATGGCTCATAGTATCACAGACAGAAAGGGTGATAGAAGAATGGTGTTGGAACACAAAGCAGGGAGCCCTTTCCCAGCCCAGCATACCAGCAAACAATAAGGGGAACTTGGTATCTCCAAGGAGGTGGGGAAGCCAGTGTGGTCACCACATAGAGGGAGGGTTATAGGAAATTCTAGGATACAGCAGGCAGGAACCTGTACCTAGGAGTCCTTCAGCCTTTAGCAAGTCCCTCACTTCCTTCACTGACTGCAGGTGGACATCCTAGTGATGACAGAGCCATCGTCAGGCCGCTGGGTCCACCTGGACACAGAGATCACCAACAACAGTGGCAGGATCACGTACAACGTGCCGCGACCCCGGCGTCTGGGGGTTGGTGTCTACCCTGTAAAGATGGTGGTCAGGTAGGACCAGGGTGTGTGTGAGGATCTCATGATGGACTTTTGGGGTGGCTCCCCCATCCAAACTTGGCTGGAAGACAGAGTTTATTTCTGTTTACATGGAGACAGGAAAAGGAAAGAGGCTACCAGCCATGGTATCAGGAGGCACCACCAGGAACCTGGCCCCAGACTGACTGATTTCAGCTGTAGGCTGACGTCAGGCTGATACCTTTCAGGGGTGACCAGACCTGTGCGATGAGCTACCTCACAGTGCTGCCCCGAGGCATGGAGTGTGTTGTGTTCAGTATCGATGGATCCTTTGCGGCCAGCGTGTCTATCATGGGAAGCGACCCCAAGGTCCGGCCAGGTGCAGTGGATGTTGTTCGGTGAGTGTCACCTCCCCTAAGGAAGGTGTTTCCCCAGGGCAGGAACCAGAAGCTTTGGAGGAAGTGCTAATTAGTCATCCCTTGACCTCAAACCAGCTTTCTCTAGGACTTCTCTAGGTCTCTGGGCCTAGGCACTGCCAAGTTCTGGCTTTACCTCCTGTAGCCATTCACTGGGAGTCTCTGGGGAGATCAGTCCCTTTTGTAGACTTTAGCTCATTCATTTGTCCTTCCCCCCTCTTCTCTTCTCCTGGGCATCCTTTCATCTTTTCCCTGAGGTTAGCTCCAGACTCCAGGCTCTTGGGTTCTGCTGTAAAGATTGCTGCTGGTGGGAGAATCTGAGACCAGCGGAGGAGAATAAACCAGGGAGGAGAAATAGTCATTGGTGACAATAGAAGCTTAGATCCCAAGAATGGACAGGAATGGGGGACATCTGGAGTTTGGGGCAGCTGGGGTAGGGTTGCCCTGCCTTGCTCGGGAAGAGAAGCTGGGCTGACTTTGAGGCCTTGGAGAGACAGCTGTCTCCAGCTGCTTTCTGGCCCTGTTGGAGAAGTCCTGCATAGCCTGCTGAGAGGATTGGTTGGTTTATCCCATGGGGGGCTGTGCTCTCTCCCTCTGTGACTCTACCCTCCTTCACCACGGGGCTGCTACACCTTGCTGGCTGTCAGAAGCTGCTTTCTATGAGTCTGACACAGACCTTGCCTCTCTGGGGGTCGCTCTGGGAGCCCCCAGCATCCTTGTAACACCTACACTGCACGTTTTCACATCTTTCCAGATGGTCAGGCCACTCTCTGGATTTAGAAAGCCCAATCCATGGCAGCAGGCTGACGGCTAGTGTCATAATAAACCTACCCAGATCTGGGCTCATCTGTACCGTGGGCCGTCCATGGAAAACAGTAAAGAACTGATTCTACCCGGGAAGTGAGAATCTCCTGGAAGAGGGACCCTGAAGAATGAAAATGTAGATAGGCAGGGTGTCTAGGGGAGGGTCCTGAGCCAAGAGCACAGGGTTTGTACAGGTTTGCCTCGAGCAGCCCTGTGTGGATAGGGAGGTTCTACTCATCAGAGTGCAGTCCAAGAGTAGAGGGAAGTCTTTAAATATGGGATCCAGGCGTGGTTGCAGGAATAGGAGCAATGGCTTTGGGTTTGTGGTTTATAGAAATTGCCAGGAAACAGTCAAGGATGATAATGAAACCAACTTTACCAGGTAGACTAAGCCAGTTGGGTTTGAGATCAATGCCTTTATCCTTGGAATCATCCCATGGAATGTTTGGATGATTAACCCCATCTTACAGATGGGGAAACTAAACACACGCACGAGAGAGACTAGTTCCAAGTTACACAAGGTCAGATCCAAGTGGGAGAACAAGAGGGAAAGTGGTCACCAACGACTTTCGTTGTGGCCCATGGGAAAGATAGGGTGGAACTAAGGACCAGTCACTGAAGGTGGGCACAAAGCCTCTGGCCTGGGAGTATTGCAAGCTTTTTTTTGTTAGTGGAGAAGGCCAAAGCAGGAGAGGTAAAGGTGAGGAACCAGGTCGGGCCAGTTCTCATAGGCCATCTGGAGGAAGTGTACACTATTCACCCACCTGAAGCAGGAGCGAGGACTTGAGAGCCCTCTTACCACTGCCTATCGCTTCTCTAGAGGGCAGCAGCAGCCAGGACAGGTACTTGGGTAGCGGGCGGCCTGCAGGGGCCGAGCTGGACCCAGCAATGCCCATCTCACCAGGCACTGGCAGGACCTGGGCTACATGATCCTTTACATCACGGGGCGGCCGGACATGCAGAAGCAGCGGGTAGTGTCGTGGCTGTCCCAGCACAACTTCCCACAGGGCATGATCTTCTTCTCGGACGGACTGGTGCACGACCCGCTGAGGCAGAAGGCCATCTTCCTTCGCAACCTCATGCAGGAGGTGAGTGTGGAACCGGGGAAGGACTGAGGCCACACCCACGCGAGCGCCCCAAGGCAGCGGGCAGGCCTTTATTAGCCAGAGAGGAGTTAATTCTGGACCCTCTGCAAGCTCCTCCCCTTTTCAGGCCCAAGGGGTTGGGCATTGGGATCCTCTGCTGGTGAAGGGAAGGGAGGCACGTTTTTTTTGTTGGCAGAGCGCGTGCCTCTCACGGGACCATCTTAATAGAGCTAAGAGGCAGGTGTTATCTTCATCGACAGATATTCACGCTTTATCTTCTCCTGACTCTTGTCTCTACATCTGGTTATTCCTGCAGCCTATTGAGACATTTCAGGCTCTGTTGTGTTTCTAGTTGCCGGGTGCTGTTGTTTCTAGCCCCATTTCCTGAATCTGTCGCCCAGAGCTGTGATTTTCCAGCTGCACTTAGGAATCATTTTTAAAAAAGGCAAATTCTCAGGCTCAGAAACTCTGAGTTTCTGCTCAGGCAGCGGAAACTCTGGGAGGAGACTGGGACATCTTTGTGCAAAACCCTCAATGAAATCCTCACCCTGTGGGATTAGAAGTAGGGTGGTGGGGAGGGGGAGGGGGAGAGGAAAGAGAGAGAGAGAGAGAGAGAGAGAGAGAGAGGAGACTGACTTGCAGATGAAAAGCAGGAGTAGACAAATTAAAATTATACGAGTTCAAATTTCAGTGCCCATAAATAAAGTTTTATTGGCACAGGGCCAAGCTCATCTGTTTATGTATTGTCTGTGGCTGCCTTTACGATGCAGTGAAAGAGCCGCCCAGTCGAGTTGCTGTGGCAGAGCTCAAAACCTAAAATATTTACTGTTTGGCTTTTCAAAGAAAAAGTCTGACAATCACTGATTTAGAGAAAGAAAGGCATGCAAATTGACAATTAGTGGTGTGTGGCAGAAAAGGGGCAATATTGGCAAACAGAGGAGAAAGGACCTAGGTTTGCCCGGGAAAGCTGAGCGGCTTCTCATACATAATAACTTCTGGGCTTAGTCTTGACCTATGAGTATGAGTTGTCTGGTAGACGATGAAACGGCATTTGCTGGGCCTGGGGAAATACAAAGACAGACGTGAAATCAAGCTTTATTTGAGACTAGCTCTGTGGGAGGATGCATGTGCCACGCTGGTTTATGGAACTTCTCGAAGAGGGTGAGGCAAGGGGGATTTGAAAAGGTAACGATGGAGGGGGATGGCAAAATGTGTCCTAAGACAATAACTGTTCAGCTGTAACAAGTAGTAACAATGACGACCTCAGTCTGAGCATGCACGGACAGTTGCCGAGCGAATGTTCTTGGAGAAATCATGCTTGTGTGAGATTGCTGTGACCTCTTAAAACTTAATTATTATCTTTTAGATCAGTCTACCTCCCAGGTGCTGGGATTATGGGTGTGTGTCACCATATCTGGACATTGCGTTTTTGTGTAAGGTTGTGGTCCTGGTAGAGTGTGTGTGTGTGTGTGTGTGTGTGTGTGTGAGAGAGAGAGAGAGAGAGAGAGAGAGAGAGTTATTATGAGGCCATCACGAGTGTGAATACCTCCTTCATAAACTCTTGACTTGGTGTTTTTGATGGGGTTGACTCAAGTGATTCCATTATGATTTTGACAACTTTCACCAGATGCAAAGGTGCAGGGGTGAGAAATAGTCTGGGCTGTTCTCAGAACTGAAGCAATACAGGGTGGGGGTAATGCAGACAGGGTCATATCAAGAACAGGTGGGAACTGAGATCCTAGAGATCACTAGGGACCCAAACTTGCTAGGTTTAGAAACCCTGGAAACAAGATCAAGATCTTGGGCTCTCTGCTGAGGGCAGTGTGGAGCAATTGGGGAGTTTGGACTAGGGCTGTGACAGCATCTAGTTTGGGTTGTAGGAAGATCCCTCTGGGAACTCACCGGAAAACACAGTGGCAAAGTGAAGAAGGGAGGGTAGTTAGGAGGCTGTTACCCCAGCAAGAAGGCTAGAATCCAGACAGACAGTAGCTATGCTATGGAGAGAAAGGCATGAGCAGCCAGAAGACTGAGCAGTTGGCATTGCCAGGACTTGGGAATGGTTGATTCATGGGCAAGGCACTCTCAGTTGTCCTATTACATGACCAAGAGAGATCAAGGTGGCATTGGGCTTATTTGTGTTGTTCAAGATGTATCTCCAGGATCTGGGGTAGTGGTGGCACGCAGTAGGTGCTCAGTAAGTGCTAGTAGCATGAATACATACATGAATAAACAGATGAAATGGGAAGGGCTACAGGAGAAGGGTCAGGCAGGTAGAAGATGAGGTCAGATGTGTACACGAGGACACTGAAAGGGCCATGGATCATGAGCCATGCGGATCCCAGCACATAGATCAAGGCAGTAGCCTGGGCTGTAGGCAGAGACTGGAGCCCTGGATACAAGTCAGTGGAGCTGCGTGGGGGCAGGGCAGGCAGCACCCAGGGATGGATGGAGCTAGGTGAAGTTGTGCTGTGCTTCTGGGAGCAGGGTGAAAGCCAGCTGAGAACAGGGAGAACAGTTGGGGAGGAAGAGGCCAGGGCAGGAAGGGTTTCAAGCAACAGACCCTCTCTTGTGGAAGTGGGACAGTGACAGCTGTCTGCTAGCTGAAGCCTGACCAGTGGATGGCCTTGGTGAGAAAAGGACACCTCCAAAGGCCAAGGGGATAGAGAGGTGGGGTCCAGAGGAAGGCAGGTCTCAACCTGGAGCAGGTTACAAGAGTGGGCAGCAACAGGCTCTCCATTTGGACAGTGTGTTCTTGAGAAATTGACCCAAGGAAAGGGTTTTTTTTTTGGCTCATGGTTTCAGAGGTGTCTGTCTGTGGTCTGCTAGCTCCATTGCTGTAGGGCTGAGGTGGAAGTAAAATATACTGGTGGGAGCGGGCGGCAGAAGAAAGCTGCTTGCCTCATGGTGGCCAGGAAACAGAGCAAGCCAGCGGAAAGCTTCCTCTAACTTTATCTAAGTCCATTCAGCTGTGAACTCGTCAATGGCTCAACCCCATGGATGAAGTCAGTACACATTAACTCGCTACTTCTCAGTGGCATCACTAGCTGGAGACCAGGCTTCCTGCACACGTGCCTATAGGGCTCATTTCACATTTGAATCATAGTTGGCGGTGTCATCCTAGTGATGACAGTGCACTGAAAGGAGGGAAACTGTAGCTCAGACTTAAGTCCCCTGTTACTATTGCTGTGATGAAGCACCGTGACCCAAAGCAAGTTGAGGAGGAAAGGGTTTATCCTGCTTACACTTCCATATCGTAGTTCATCACTGAAGGAAGTCAGGATAGGAATTCAAGCAGGGGAGGGACCTGGAGGAAGAAATGGATGCAAAGGCCATAGAGGAGTGCTGCTTAATGGCTTGCCCAGCCTCTTCTCTTATAGAACCCACGACCACCAGCCTAGGGAGGCTGCTACTCATAATGGGCTGGCCCTCCCCCGTCAATCACTATTTTAAAATATGCCCCGCAGCCAGATCTTATGGAGGTATTTTCTCAACTGAGGTTCTTCTTTCCAGATAACTCTAGCTTGTGTGGAGTTGCTATAAAACTAGCTAGCACGTCCCCAGTGGACATGGTAGGACAGGGAACACACGGTGAGGGTGTAGTGTAGTGAGCATCACCAGCTGGGTAGGTGGGAGATCAAGGCAATTAACTGAAGGAAGCACCCCAGGACGAGGAGGGCAAATCTCTAAACTGGGTCTGGATATTTTGGGGAGCACAACAGACCAACTATCAGGAGGCAGGGGTCACATGGCTAGCCTAGAACTTGCCCCTAGTTTAGGGCCCATAATGCATAACTTGGTCCCACTGTGGGAGGTGTGTGGGGTGTGTGGGTAGGTGTGTGGGGGTGGGAGGGGGTTGAGACTGGGCAGTAGTGTCAGCAAGTAACGTATTTCCATTCCCTGATAGAGCCATAGTCCCCCACCTCAGATCTAGTGTGAAGAACTGGGGCAAGGAGGGGCAGTCATCTGGGGGTGGCTCCTAGCAAAGGTGGACTTGGTGTCTGAGTGCAGATGAAGGGCTCTCCAGCAGGATCTCCCTAGGTCTTCTTCCCTCTTCACCAGCTTGCTTTGTGTTTCAGTGCTTCATCAAAATCACTGCAGCCTACGGCTCCACGAAAGACATCTCGGTCTACAGTGTGCTGGGCCTCCCTGCATCCCAGATCTTCATCGTGGGCCGGCCCACCAAGAAGTACCAAACCCAGTGCCAGGTGTGTGGGAGCCAGGGAAGGGAATCGAGGGCGGCACCTAATCATTCAGTTACTTGCTCATCTCTTCATTTGCTCATTCATTTATCCCTACTGAGCAATGCCTTGGGCCAGGCCCCCTGCTGGACGCAGGGGAGAATCCAAGTGGAGACGGATGTAATGGCATCTAAGGAAAGGGGAAATGGCAACGACTGTTTATTACAAAAACAAGTGCCACTCTGAATGAATGAGTGATGAGGCCCTGGAGATGCGCTGCAAGCCTAGACTCCAGGGTAAAGCTGGCCTCCGGGAAAAGGTGGGGAGGACGACGGACAGCCAGAAAGAACCTGGGGTTGAGTCAGAGTGCAGGGGTGCAGACAGGGGTGCTCAGTGGCCTGCGGGAACCCTAGAACTGTAATGAGCTTCCCTGCTACTGCTTTTGGGGTCCTGGAGAAGCTGCAGACTCCCTTGGAGGATGCCCAAGGGAAGTAGCGATATTGGGGGACACGGTCAGATGCTAGCCTGATGCTTGTCCCCTCCACAGTTCCTGAGTGAAGGCTATGCCGCACACCTGGCGGCACTGGAGGCCAGCCACCGCTCGCGCCCCAAGAAGAACAACTCGCGGATGATCCTGCGCAAGGGCAGCTTCGGGTTGCATGCGCAGCCGGAGTTTCTGCGCAAGCGCAACCACCTGCGCAGGACCATGTCAGTGCAGCAGCCGGACCCACCCGCCCCTAACCCCAAACCCGAGCGGGCACAGAGCCAGCCCGAGTCCGACAAGGACCACGAGCGGCCGCTGCCTGCGCTCAGCTGGGCGCGTGGGCCCCCCAAGTTTGAGTCAGTGCCCTGAAGGGTGGGCGGTGCTCAGAACAGTGGGGGCAGTTAGGCGGCCTGCAGGGAAGGGAAGGGTTGCCTTCTCCCTGATAAAGGCGTTTTCCTGCTTTTTCCCTCCCGTGTCTGTCCAGCAGTGTATGACCAGAGCAGGGAGGGACCTTGCCCTGACACTGGGGAGCTTTCTGGGCTGCTATGGGGTGAAATCGGGGTGTCTCAGTGCAGCCACCGCCGCTTCCCCGTGCCTGTGCTCACAAGCCGGAGTCAGGGGTGATGTGTGAGTGTGACCTTTGGGCCAAGCCTGCCTGTGCCCAGTGTTTGGGTAAAGTTGACCATCTTTTCGAGTCCTGAGGTTTCTGTATCTGCGCTAGGCAGGCTCAAACTAGAGAAGCCCCCAGCGCTAGGTAGACTGCCAGACAGGTGTTTACCTCTGGCCGATTGCAGGTGCGACAACTTGACAGTATGTGGAAGAGTGACATTTGTGCCTGCCCTCCTTGTGACATCCGGGGCACCACTTTGGGGCTGGCTGTCTTATGACACAGTGAGATCACTTTATGGGAGAGGACATTCTCTGGGTCCAATCTGTGTATGTGGAGTCGATCCACAACCCCTGGGGACCGGGTCTGGTGCTGACTGTCTGTCTTGCAGCTGTCCTTTGCTCCCCTTCGTGTTCTCCTGTGGCCCTTGAAGACAGATGTTCCTCTTCCTTGAGTCTTGCCTTGTGCACTTCCCTGAGAGGCTGCGGCCATGGGCTCTGCCCGGAATTGGTCTGGCTACAGTCTGTAGCATATCCTCTTTGGGCCCTGCCTTTTTCTGTAACTAGAAGGGGCCTCTTGGCTGAGATGGGTCCTGGGTTTGATTCCGAGGCTGTCCAGCATTTGAGCTCTCTGGGGCTTCACAGAATGCCCAGTGCCCCCCCCCCCCCCCCCGCATTCCAGCCCTCCCTACCCTGGGATAGAGATTCTAGGTGGGACTGAAAGGGATCCTAGCACCTCAGAGGAAGGAAGCCACAACTTCGTGGAGAAATAAGCTTGTTTGTGTACACCGAGGGAAACAGAAAGTGCTTCCTTACGCCAATAAAGGGGACAACATGGTGGCCCCTTCCATAGCTCTGCTCGGACTGGCTTTTTCTCTTTAGGTTTTCTGGAATGCACAGAACTGAGATCGTGGGTTCTGCAGGTTCATGGACTATTGACTCAAGCTGTTGTATTCTCTTCCCCTCCCTGGCAACTCAGTTTAGTTTGAGCATAGAATCTCCTCTAGGGTAGTCAGACACCTTACGGTGGTGGTAGGGGGTGTTTCTTTGTTGCCAAGTCCCTGGCCTTGGCGAGTTTCCCCCTTGCTCCCTGGCCCAGGCTGACACCTGTTGTATGGCTGCCTGGATGTCTTAGAACCCCCGGATGCCACAGAGGCCAGAGCCAAATATCTGCGTACACAGCAGGCTCCTGTCAGCTCGGTGTCGCTTCTGTTCAATGTCTACCTCTTGCAGCTCCCATGCAGCCTGTGGTGGCTGCTGATGGGGTGACTGGCACTAGGTTGTGAGTTGCTCAGCAAACTGGGTGCCTCACTTGGGCTGGAGGGGGTGTGGGTTCCCAGTACCCACCTGGCTTTTCCCACTCAAATATCTTCTCCAGCCTGCCAGCCTGTTCCCTCTGCCCATCCCATCATATCTGACAGCTCTTTCAGTGGCATCAGCACTGCGCTTGGCAAACCATGCCCATCACTGCCAGGGGGCTGCAGAGAGGGCAAGGAGGTATGGAACCAGCTTCAGCTTCCTCTTTCTATCCTGCCTCTTAGAAGTTCATACCTGCCTCCCTCCATTTCTCTTAGAAGTTATACCTGCCCCCGCTGCCCCACACCACCTTCCTCCACCATTCTTGCCTGTCTTTTGGCACCAAATCATAGGGTATAACCACCTTAAGTACAGTCCTTTCCCCTAAATGCTGTGATTTGAGCTTGGATAGACCTGACTGATTCTCCTCCCAGCAGGAGCCACTGAGTCTAACTTTCAAATGATAAACACCTCTCCCTTTTCTGAGAACCCCAGGCTGAGTGTTTGTGTGAGTGGGGGACCCCCAGAGAGACTGGAGCCAGTGACCGCGCTCTGTGGGTCAGAGCTAGCCAGAGGCCCCACTCCTCTTTTGCTAGAGCCTCACATTGGGGCTAGGGTGATCCCTTTTGTGGGATGCCGCGGGTGTACAGGTGTTGTGAATACCACCCTAGGAGCCGTGGCGCCCGTGTGAAGTAAGCGTTCACTGCTCTGTTTAGAGAACAGCTCAGTCTTGGCTTCCTGGCAACTGTACTCTGTGTGTGCTTTCTGCTAGTGCTGTGTTCAGTTAGGTCAGAGATCAGAGGAACTGATACCTAGTGTTCTCCAGAGGAGAGTGCCGTTGCCTCCTCCAGTAGTTCTGTGACGCCCCATCCAGCTGTTTTCTAGAGACCTTTAGCTCCCGGTGTGCCTGCTCTCCAGCTGCTGAAACATGTTCCTGCTTGACCAAAGTTCCCGTATCTGAGTGGCATGTTTGTTTTTCCCATGTGATAGCTGTCCTGACCTGACTGAGGGATGCCTGACACCTTCCTTTATCCCTCGTCCTGTTGTGGGTTGCTGGAGTCTGCTCTTTCAGCCTCATGCCCCTCACCCCTAAAGACTGACCCCTCCCTGAAGCATCACAAGATATTTTTTTAAAGAAAATAAATTATTTTCATGCATTCAGACAAACAGCCTTCCCGCCTGGGTGCTGGGCTACATCAAATATATCTGAACCCCAGTATTCCTGAGATTGGGGTGGTTTTCTGAAGAAGGGAAAGCTGTATCTAATGGTTTTTAAACTGTACTTCGGGCACTCCGCAGCCCAGAGCTGTGCCCCGGAAGTATCCTGCAGACAAAACATGGCACCTGTCTTTAACTGGGGAATGGACCCTGCCAGACCAATGTGCCCAGGTCTGGAGGAGGTGCCACTTTTGCAGGCATACTCTCCACTCAGCTCAGGTGAAGCCCCGTCTGGGAGGGGCACCCTGACTGTCGGAGCCTTGCAGTTGACCCCGCCTTAAACAACCACTTTCCAGCGGAATCCCCGGGGTTCCATTCCAAGTGCTCTGAAAATTAAAAAAAAAAAATCCCTTTTCTTTCCCTTCTGGGCTAGGGAGGAATTTCTTATACACCCAAGTTAAACGTTTAGTCCAAGTGGCAAAGCCCTGATCTTGCTGGTAAACTAACAGGGAGGTTGGGGGGGGGATCAAAATTTGACTCCACCCTGTGGAGGTGCAGAAGAGGTAGGGGACACCAAGGAACGGTAGGCACAGAGGCAGCGTGGGACATGCCCCCTCAGACCCAGACCCACTGTCCTTTTCTTTGTTTACTCAGTGGTGGCAGCCCGTCTGACCTTGTCTGTGGTCTGCCTGTCCCTGTGTGTGTAACTTCCAGTACTCGCTGTGATGGCTGGTTCTGTGATAGAAAAGGCTTATTACAGTCCTCATGGCTGCCTTGTACAAAATCCGTTAGAAGAGAAAATGTAAAATATCCAATTTCTAACAAGACAAAAACAGCATTATGGAATTAAAAAGATTTTTACAATTGGTCTTGATTTTGATGTGAGCTGTTTTTAACTGAAATGTTGTCACTTAAATAAAAACCTTATTTGCCTTTAAGATGTGCGGTGATGAAAAAGCTTTTCTTTTATCTATTTTTATGTGCATGGTGTTTTGTCATGGGTATCGGGTGCCCTGGGACTGGAGTGACACACAGTTGTGCGCTGCCATGTTCTTGCTGGGAATTGAACCTGGGTCCTCTGGAAGAGCAGCCAGTGCTCTTAACCACTGAGCCATTTTTCCTGCACTCTGGTTCTCTAGGCGAGAAGAACAGGAGCAGAGGGGATGGGAGAGACGGAGCTGAGCTCCAGTCCGACGGCTGTGCACTCAGTGTGGTCAGAGCGTGCATGTAACAAAAATGCCAAGTGTCAAAGACATGTTTTTATTATGAAAAAGCAATGTGATCTGGGAAACGGACACACTGGTATCTTTCTATTAAAAAGACAGCAGATTTCTTAAGTAATTTACAAAGAGCAGAAACTGGTCTCGACCAGTGTTCCCCTCCCAGCACGCCCACAGTGCCCCACACTGAGCTGATAGGTAGGCCTCAAGAGCTCAGGCTTGCACAGTTTACCAATATCTCCTTTCTTCCCGTGGAGCCCTGTGGGAACGGGGATAAAAGTGGATCCCCAAGAATCTCTGCACTGGGAATAAAGGGGGTGCTTTCATGGGATGACTCCTGCAGGGTCTTGGTCCTAGTTACGAGGCTCAGAACCACCTAGCATCTTCAGGAACATTCCTAATATGGATGGGCCACTGTGAGGCTGGAGAGCAGGTTGCCTATGAGTCCCCAGGAGAGCATGGGCAGTTCTCACCACCTTTTCAAGGTCTTCCTGCATCACTCAGGCTGTGGCCAGTGGTTACCAACGGGCCCAGATATGGTTGAAATAGAAGGATTCTGGATCCCATGTTAGTCAAGTGCTTGTTAGCAGTGGTCTGGGGATGCTGATGAGCCCAACTGCACCTCCTCCTGGAAGTTCATGGGGTGGGTGGCACAGACATTCTGGTGGCTTGATGGCTGGACAGGGCCTGTTTCCTGTAAGACAGAGCTTCCATGTGCTTCTCCCTATCTCAAGGCAGGGGATGTAGGAAGCTATAGCCCTCCTCTCCAGATCCAAAAGGTTGGAAGACGGATTCCAGTCCTTTGAAATCACAGGGTTCTGATGTGATCAGGAAGGGGAGCAGCTTTGGCTGAGGGAAGAAGACCCAGATACTCCCTACTCTGCACTTTACCCACCCACCCTGCGGTTTTCTCGATCCATTCACTTTCTTAGCACTCCTGCAAGCACGCATGCACAATTACACATAGTGAAGGAGGAGGTGAGAGAGGAGGAGGAGACTGAGAAAGAGGGAGGGGATATTACCTGTAGGATGCTTGTTGTCCTCATTCACAGATAAGGGAGACAGTCATGTCACCACTAGGAACAGAAAAGGGGGTGGGACTGATGAACTGGATGCTTCGTGTTCCGAAGGCATCCCAGCCCAGACAAGACAAGACCAGAACCTAGAAATATGGTGGGAACATGGCCACAGGGGACATATGGCCTAAAAACCCTTTATACAAATTGGAGAACGGTTTCCAAGTTAGGGAAGATCCAGAACAAGGTAATGTCTTCATGGTTGTAATCCTGAGCAGATAGACCAGGGACTCCACAGCAACCATGTTGCTTTTGCCAAGTACATGGGTAGACAGGGTATAGAGGAGCCATAAAAGGTAGTGGAGGAAGGGAAAGCCTCTCAAGAAGCAGGTACCCAGCCACACATGAAATTCAAGGTGATGGGCAAAGGTGAGTTCAAGGCCTGAAGGGCTCATAGTGCATCCTTCACCATCATCCCAAGAGACTGGAACATAGAGGGACAGGGACTGGTCTTGACCATGTGGCAGACTGTTGTTGGAACAGCACTTCCTAGAAATACAGTATGGTTCAAGGGGCCCATGGCCATTTCGCCCTGACCCCAGGATGCAGCTCACCTCTCTTCAGCCTTGATGGCTTTGTCCAGCTTTTGGGACAGCTTCTGAAGATGCTGGATTCCAGCTCCCACAGGCTCTAGGTCACTGTCAGACTCACTGAACACAAGGAGATGCCACAGAAGGGGTTATCGAGAGCCCTGAGCAGGACCCAGACAACCCTGGCTGACTGGGAAAGCCCCACTAGAGCCTCGCTGTGGCGTGCGACATGCAAGCCTGTGAGACTGAGCCGTGGGGAATGATTTTGCAGTCAGATGAGGGCTGCTGTTGCCCTCAAACCTGTACCCCAGGCTTCTAGATGTCCCCCATCTAGAATGGAGTGCGACTTATCTCCTAATCCTTTTACAGGTAGGGAGAGAGGACTGGAGAGATTTTTCCCCCTTCAGGTCCTGACTAGCTCTGCGGCAGACCTGGGCCAGGAAAAGAATGTGACAGATCAGGGAGGGTGTCCTTGGCTCAGGTAGTACTGAGGAGACTTGTGGGACAGGAAGGGAAATCATGCTGGGCTCAGAGACTACTTGCCTGGGAGAGCAGAGAGGTTCTGTGGAGGAGCAGGGGCTCCGGAGGGCAGCCTCCCTCCTTAGCCGCTGGCGTCGATGGCCGTGTGAACCCATCTGGCCAGAGAGGCGAGGATTTCCCCCAACTCTGGCATCCCGGTTGGCCCTGCATAGCCGAGTGTTCTTCTGGTTCAGACTGGGTGGTGAGGACCCACGGTCCTTCTGGGCTTCTCGTTTTCTCCTCACTTTCACCTGTGTTCCCATCAGCCACTTGGTGCCGCTTTGGCACGACTCCTGGATTCTCTGTGATGGGTTCATGTGGGAAGGTGAGCACAGATAGGACCGAGGTGGGCTGCCAGCCTTCGGCTAGCCCACAGACACAGTCTGCTGTTAGTCTTAAGAGTGATAGTATGGGGGCTGGAGAGATGGCTCAGCGGTTAAGAGCATTGCCTGCTCTTCCAAAGGTCCTGAGTTCAATTCCCAGCAACCACATGGTGGCTCACAACCATCTGTAATGGGGTCTGGTGCCCTGTTCTGGCCTGCAGGCATACACACAGACAGAACATTGTATACATAATAAATAAATAAATATTTTTTTTTAAAAAAAAGAGTGACAGTCTGATTCCCGGTGAGATGGTACTCTCTGCAAGATCTTCCCAGAGACCCAGCTCAGGGACATGGCAGGTAGCAGCAAGATCACATCACAACTAAGCCCTCTAGACAGAGACCAACCTAGAAAGTGAGGGAGGTTCAGTTTCCTGAATACTGGCTCACTTGCCATCCACTCTGGTCTTATTCCTTCTCCTCCCTTCTCCATCTTAGTCCACACAGACCCTTCAATGATATATCAGATAGCTGTGATCACAACACTTAAATGCTCTAACCCCTTCTATGGCCCTCTGACACTCTATAGCACGAAGTCCCAGCCCTTGGGTCTTTTACACGTGGCTGGATCAAACGGTTCTGCTTAGATTGCCTTTGTCTTGGCAAACCAGAGCCCAGAAGTTGGAGCAAGGCCCGAGGTAAGTTTGATGAGTTGGGTGACCTTAGACAAGATGTCACATTTCATCGTTCTGAGTTATAGCTGTTGAAAGCAATCTTAGGGCTCTTCCAAGTCAGAGCTAGACTTTGGCCAGGAGGCCTCTCTGGAGAGTTGCCAGGAGCCTCTGTTCTCTCCCCATGCCATCAAAATGCCCAGAAAGATGCCTACCCCTTCTCTCCCTGGAGGTCTGTTCATTTTTACAGCTTCCGTTCTTTCCAGGGGCCACCTGCCCACATCTCCAGCTCTAGGTTTAGAGACCTGGGGTCAATGAGGTAGCTCAGCAGGTCGAGGTTCTTGCCATCATTTGATCTCCAGAATCCACATGGTGGAAGGGAGAGAGCCCACTCCTGCACATTGTTCTCTGACCTCCAGATGAATACCACCACGTGGATGCTCCTCCCATAAATAAATATAAACCTTTAAATAAATACTTTAAGAAGACACCTGCCTGGAAGGCTCCTGGGCACACTGCACCCGAACACCATCCCTCAAACCTGCCTTCTGAACCGCTCGAGAAGTTGCATCCTTCTGCAAGCCCAGCTCCTCTGCCTTTTCCTACCAAGTAGCTGATAGCCAAGGCATAATAAGTAGTATGACTGGGAGATTTAGACGGGGGGGTCAGCACATAGCAACTCCCCCTTCACTGTGACTTAGTCCTCCAGCCTCCAGGCTGGACTCACACCATCCTGCTGGTCCTGTGCCTCCACATACCTCCCCTTTCCTGTGTTATCTTGGAAGGGTGATCTATTCTAGGGAGGCTTTATCCACAAACCTTGAGATTGATATCTCTTTATAGTTAGCCATTTCTTGCAATTTCCTATCATAGGGCACAGCAGGTTACCTTACATGGAGAGCATCAATTTCTTCCATGACGTTTCTCATCCACTGATTTGTTGAGAAACTTATGTGCCAGGATGGGGGGGGGGGGGCGGCGGCTGAGGGGGAAACTGCCAAGGACCTAATCAAACTCCAACACCCCACCGACTCTATTCTTGGAGCCTCCCCGAGGATAGGAATTTTTAATACCCAGGACACTTCTGTCATTGTTACCTGGGACATAGCACCCAAGGCGCATTTGGCTGAGCGAGCTGCACCCTGAAGACCCTGCTGCTCTGGTTCTGAGGTTTCCAGGCGTTTCCAGGAGGGGCCAGTCCCCAGGTTGAGGCTGACGGCTCTCAGTGGCAGCCTCCTTTGAAACTGTCTGCACAGGGAGCCCAGATGGCCCTCAGCAGACCGGGTCACCCCCTTCTCTAGATGTTCCTCCTTTAGGAGCGATCGTCTGCGCACCGAGGCCGTCATGCCCTGCCACTGAGACGCCATGTGCTTGGTCCAGTCTCCTCTGCCCGCTAGATCCTGGGGAGGTCAAAAGGTCATCAAAGTACTCTCTGGTCATATTGCCAGGCACCAGAGATCCTGGGAACTGGGAAAGAGATGAAATGGAACCTCTTGGGGTAAACTTCTTGCGCAATTTGTGGATGCCAGAAAGACGACCACGGCGTCACGGTCAGCAGCAGCCTCGACTGCAAGGGGGCAAATTGTCTTTCCATCCCAGCCTCCTTCACGGAGGCTCCGCGGAGAGCCACAGAGGTCACCGAGCCTCGGCGCTTAAGCAGGGCACCATCAGCAAGAGACTCTTTCATAAATTCGCGCTCCTCTGCTGAGCAGACCCTGGCCATCTTTCCAAGGCTTTAAATCTCCAGATACCTCCTTTGTGTTGCAGGTCCTATCCAAAGCCCCTGGCCCGCTCCCTTGTAGGAGCTGGCCATGAGAACCCCTCCCCAAGCCCTCGTGAGACCCCCTCCCCAAGCCCTCAATGTCCCCGCACTCACCTCCCTGCCTGATACCCGGGATCCGAAGACCAACACCCGCTCCTCGCCCACTGCACTCGATTTGAAACTCCGCGCGGCCCCACCCCGGCCGGGTACTCGCAGCTCATTGGCCCTATCAGCTTTCTGCCGCCCCGCCCCTGGATTCCGATTGGTCTGTTTCTCTCGCGACCATAAATCGTGCTTTGGGATTGGCCGGGTCACGCCCATACATCACTCGGGACCCCCCCCCCTGGGTCGCTGCAAAGGGTCCAGCAGGTCCGGCGGTATCGGTCTGACTTCTGTCACCTCCTGGTTGCAGGGTTTGGCGTGGCTACCCTCTTCCATGTCCATCGCACGCCCAGACCCTCCCCAGAGCCTGAGGTCAGGCTTCTCTGCGGGATGCTGCGGGGTCGCGGGACACGGTCACCCAGGGCACCCCTTCCAGCCCTTTACTTCACCTAACTTCTCTCTCGCATTCAAAAGTTTTGTCAGAGCGTTAGGCTGGACAGAACTGCTGAGCGCTGCGTTCCTTGGGAAGTTTTGTTTCAAATTCCCCGCCGGATCCTCTTCCTTCCTGAGAGACCGCCCTGCCCCTGTCAGTTCCTCAAACTCACCACCCGGCTGGCGCCCAAGAAAGCACATCTCGGAGAAGAGGACAGACTCTAGATCCCCCTCTCCATCCGTTAGGTCAGTTTCTCTGCCTGGTCTTGCCCCAGCCATCTATTCCTTAGTCTTCCAGGAAGCTAACCACCACCACCACCACCATCAAAACCAGCATGGTTTGCTTTCTCCTATGTACCTGCTTTATTTTTGCAGTCTTGACTTTTTTTTTTAATTTTTAAAGGTTTTATTTTTGTTTTTAATTATGCATCTCTGTGCGAATTTGTGTTTGTGAATGCTTGCAGGGTTGGGGTGGGGTGTAAGGCAGAAGAAGTCAGATCCTCTGGAGCTGGAGTTGGAGATGGTTGTGAGGCACCCCATGTAGGTGCTTACAACCAAACTCAGGTCTTTCTGCAAGAACAGTAGCGCTTTTAAGGACTGAGCCATTCCTCTTTCTTTCTTTCTTTCTTTCTTTCTTTCCTCCCTCCCTCCCTTCCTTCCTCCCTTCCTCCCATCCTCCTTTCCTTCTTTACTTCCTTCCTGGCTCAATCTCCCCAATATTGAAACCAAGGGTCCCGGGTGTGCCAGCACAATGGGGCCCACTTACCTTCTTCTCCAAGAAGCATTATCGCTCCTCTCTCTTCCTGTCCCTTGCCTAAGCCTGGGGTAGGACTCCTAGAGACTCTTCAGGCCTCTTCCTGGTGTCCGGATTGTCTGACCCTTTCCCTGAGAATCTGTGTTCACCTCCCAACCCTCCCTGTGACAATGATTGATTTTTATGCAGCACTTTCAAGAATGGCCCCTGTGTATTCACGAACCCATTTACTCCCAATGCCACACAACTCTATGATGTAGCCAAGGTGCAGAGTGTAGGCTGGCCACGTTTCACCCAGTGTGAATGTGTAGCACGGTGAAGGATCCAGACACTGTCTACGCAAGAGCAGAGTTTCTGTGGACCAGGGTTGACCACCTCACTGATGCTTCTCAGCCCTCACACCTCCTTCCCCAGCCTGGATCTCTCCCCTGACTCCTGAAGCCAGCAATCTCCTGGGTCCTATCACCTCCTGCTGGTTACTTAAAGGGAACAAACCCAAGTTGGAGCCACCCTGGTTTTCCCGATCTCTCCCCACCCCCGCCATGGTCTCCCTAATCTTACAGGTGGGAACTTGTGAGTTATTAAACTCTGTGCTAAAAGGAGCGTGAAAAATGTCCATTTCTTATTTTTTATTATTTATTTATTATGTATACAATATTCTTTCTATGTGAATGTCTGCAGGCCAGAAGAGGGCACCAGACCTCATTACAGATGGTTGTGAGCCACCATGTGGTTGCTGGGAATTGAACTCAGGACCTTTGGAAGAGCAGGCAATGCTCTTAACTGCTGGGCCATCTCTCCAGCCCCAAAATGTCCATTTCTTACTTCCACGGGACTCAAGGTTAGCGTGCCTGGAGAGATGAGCACCTCCAGATCAACTCCACCAATCAGGCAGAGAACCGCATGTTATCTAAACCTGAGACCCAGGGCATGAGCTGGCCACGCAGAGAGTATGCTTGCATCTGTCTGTAGACGTGTGTCTTTGCGAGTGTGTGTTTGTGGTGTGTGCACATGGCATATCATGTTCAAGGCCACTCTCTGTAAGAAACCTGACACACACACACAGGCAACCCCAAATAAAGTCTTCAGAGAATGGCTTGTGACTGCACAATGTGCTGAGAGGCTTTACTGCGGCCGGATGAGCCACGGGTGCAGGCTGTGGTTTGCAAGCTGCTGCCTTCAAGAGCCTGTTGTCTTTGTCCGCCAGCCTCTCCTCCTTGGGACTATTTACCAGGAATCTCAGACTGCTCGTGTCTCTTGCATTTGTGATCACAATCAAGAAATACACCCAGTGAATCAGACGGAGGGAAAGAGAGCGATTCCTGTGAAGACAGGGGTCAAAGCGAGGTGACGTCTCAATGAAGATGAAACACTGGGAACGGATCTCTCAAAGAAGTGTTTTGCCACATTCATCTCCTCAGCACCTGCCGCAGTGCCTGGCGTGTCAAGGCATTCATAATAGCTTATATTTTCTGAGCCCTTATCACGTGTCGGACACTCAGCCGAGTGCATCGACGTTCTTCCTTCTCCGTTCTCGCTGCAGCTCTGGGAAGTCGGCTCTATTTTTATTCCCATTACCGCTGATGAAACTGGAGATTCAGACAGGCGAGACCCTAGGTCTCGTGACTCTGGGCTCTGTGTTCCTCTCTTCGGGTCACACATCCTTGCTGAGCATCTGGAGTGTGTGCATGCGTGCATGTGTGTAGAGAGTATTCTCAATGCCTGCTGCTCTCTCGCCTTTCACCACTCGGAGACATAACTGGCAGATCAGGTTAATGAAGGGAAGTCTCCATGGCAACGCAAGAAGGCAGAAGAAGTATTTTCTTCTGAATGGGAAGCTGCTCCGTTCAGCCTTGCATGGGGAGTGGCTGGAGGGGGCTCCACACAGCCGTATCTCTTTGATGAGTGGTGGGTGCAGGGTCTCCTGCTCCACTGGAGGAGGACAATGCAGCGAGGAGCACAAGTGGGGCTTAGCCTCTGGAGGAGGGAGGTAGGGAAGGAGTGCTCCAGCAGCCCCCTCTCCCCCGGCTTTCAGTCACTATTCCCATCCCTGGAATGATCACATCTCATAGAAGAAAACTAACATCCAGCAGTTACGGGGCCATGGACTTGAAGAGTCAGGGGCCATGGGAAGAGAAAAGGACACAGGAAGGGTGGGTGGCTTTTCCAAATATGTGACATTCTAGCTGAGGCACTGGATGGAGGGGGATGCAAGAACCTTGCCACATTCCAGGACTGACTGTACTAAGGCTGAGAGAAGCAGAGGGCATGGCCAGGGTCGGGGGTCAGGAGCAGAGACCCAGGTTAGGGCAGGAGGTTAGAATAGATCCGGGGTGGGAAGTCAGCTGGCTTTGAAGAGAGGAGCAGGTGACCAGAACTGTGGTCCAATAAAGGCTTTGAAAAGATTGGAGTCTGTGGCCTGAACAGGCAATGGACGCTCCCTACCCAGCAGTGAAACCTGGTCCCTCAAATCCCTTTGCCCCTTCCCTTTGCTGTGGGTTTTTTGTCTCCCTGCAAAGCACCAAATGGAAACAGTAGCAAAGTGTCAAGCTTGGAAAGGAGGGCTGGGTCCTTCTTTCCCATTGTGCAACTGATCAGGAGGGAGAAATGCCCCAAAGAGAAACTGTGTTATGAAGAGAGTCATCATAAAGTAACTCACAAGGCTATCCTCCACGGCAGGGGAGAGCACTGCAGGGAGCTTAGGGTCAGTGCTGGGCCCTGGCCTAGGTTCTCCTCCCCCACCCCATGATCATGGCCTAGGTTCTCCTCCCCCACCCCATGGCCATGGCCTAGGTTCTCCTCCCCCACCCCATGGCCATGGCCTAGGTTCTCCTCCCCCACCCCATGGCCATGGCCTAGGTTCTCCTCCCCCACCCCATGGCCATGGCCTAGGTTCTCCTCCCCCACCCCATGATCACGGCCTAGGTTCTCCTCCCCCACACCATGGCCCTGGCCTAGGTTCTCCTCCCCTCACCCTATGATCATGACCTAGGTTCTCCCCTCACCCCATGGTCATGGCAGTGATGTCCCTGTCTGATCATTCTACCTCCTCAACACACATGCCCCTCTAGGCTGTCATATGGCTGGAGAAAGATGGTGGGGAAGAGGAAAAGGCCTCTGCGCCTTCCGTATTACTTGCTCCCCAAGACTGGGATGGAAACAAGTCCTGAGTTGGGGACCTGGCACTCAGGGAGGGCTTTCTAGAATTCTAGGCTTCATCCTCTGTGTCTGACCAGTTTGCCTAGATTTGTTCTTAAGGCAAGGACTCTTTATGGAAATCAAGACTTTTGAGGGTGCTGAAGATAGGGAACCCCAGGACCCAGGCCTTACTGGAGAAGGGAATTGAGGAATGGTGGATTGGAGAACATAAGGCCTTTCTCTGATGAAGGAATCCCTGGTTGGCTTTTATACAAGTTATAACGTCTCCCCTTTGCAAGGTCAGTGTTCTGCCTCTTGGTCACGAATCAATGTCCAGAAGAGACTGATTTTGGGGCGCTCGGAGTCCATTATTAGTCTCAAGATTTTGAGAGAACTATGAGAATTTGAGTTGGCCACAAGGTGGCGCCAAACACTAAGTCTTCACATTACATTTTTTTCTTCTCGTCTCCCAAGGGGGTCCCGGGGGCTCCTAAATGTCTCACACGACCCAGGACTGAGGCCTAGCCAGACCTTAGAGTGGAGGGAGAAGCTTAGTGCTAGGAGTGCCTCAATTTCTCTCAGAACTGTTTCAACCTCTCTTAGTTACCCCAAAGTCAGGACCCCGCTGCTGCCCTCTGGTCACTTTTCCCAGCTCCCAGGGAAGTGCTAAGAGACAGAGACTGGACAAGGTTGGCACTGCAGGTGCAG